CCCTCCACTCCTGGCAGGGAACAGCCGCCCCCTCCCCTGCGCAGGGAACAGCCGCCCCGCCCCTGCGCAGGGAACAGCCGCCCCTCCCCTGCGCAAAGAACAGCCTGTCTCCCCCTGCGCAGGGAACAGCCACCCCTCCCTTGAGCAGAGAACAGCCTGTCTCTCCCATGCGCAGGGAACTGCTCCCTACCGAGCTGCCTCACCTGCCGTCCCTGTCTAAGTCCTGCAGCAAGGAGCCAGCAGAACAAGATTCCCCTCCCAGCAGGAGCCCGCCCCCCTCTGAGAAGTCCTACCAGTGCCCCTTGTGTAGTCAGAACTTCAGACAGAGCTCGGACCTGCAGCGGCACCGGCGCATCCACACGGGAGAGAAGCCTTTCCACTGCCCGGTGTGCGAGAAGAGCTTCCGGCTGCAGTCCAACCTGATCGTGCACCAGCGCACCCACACCGGGGAGCGGCCCTACCAGTGCGGGGAGTGCGGCCGCGCCTTCTCGCAGAGCTCCAACCTCCTGACCCACAGCAAGATCCACTTGGGCCAGAAGCCCTATGCCTGCTTCGAGTGCGGCAAGAGCTTCCACCACAGCTCCAACCTCATCATCCACCAGCGCACCCACACCGGCGAGCGGCCCTACGAGTGCAGCGTCTGCGCCAAGCGCTTCAGCGACCGCTCCACCCTGGTGCAGCACCGGCGCCTCCACACGGGCGAGCGCCCCTACGCCTGCTCTGAGTGCGGCAAGTGCTTCAGCCAAGCCTCACACTTGGTCAAACACCGACGCACCCACGCGGGCCCCTGCACCAAGAATAGCGCTGCCCCCAGAAAAGCACCAGTCACAGCGGTGGAGAGAAACAGTCCCAACAATGGGGCAGCCGTTGGGGAGAAGAGAACTACCCCCACTCATGGGCTGAGTGAGAGGACTGCCACGCCCCAAAATGGAGCAGCTATAGGGGAGGAAAGAGCAGCCCGGAAAGATACACCCACTGTGGGGAAGGATAGAGCCACCCAGGAAGTGGGTTCAGAGGGGGAGAAGGACAAAGCGGCTCAGAAAGTTGCTTTGGCCACAAAGGAGATAGCCGCCCCCAAACACATGCTGGCCAGGGGGATGGAGAGGGCGGCAACAAAGGACCCGCTGGCCGCAAGGAAGGAAAGGGTGACCCTCACACCTGGGCTGGGTGAGTTGAGAGCTGCCCCCATACACAGGCAGGGCACAGGGGAGGACAGAGCCACTCCAAAAGATGTGCCAGCCATGGGGGGAAAGAGAGCACTGACTCCAGGTGCACCAGCCGTGCATGAGGAGAGAGATGCCCTGAAAGATGCACTGAGGGCAGGGAAGGACAAACCAGCAACAAACCACCCATCAGCTGTGGAGAAGGGGAGAACTGCCCCCAAACTTGCGCTGACCATGAGGCAGGGAAGAGCCGGCCCCAAACACACACTGGCCATGGAGAAGGGGGGAGTCAGCCCCAAACACACACTGGCCATGGGGAAAGGGAGAGCCGGCCCTGAACACGCATTGGCCACAGGGAAGGAGAAAGTCAGCCGCAAACACGCACTGGCCACGGGGAAAGGGAGAGCCGGCCCTGAACACGCACTGGCCACGGGGAAAGGGAGGGCCGGCCCTGAACACGCACTGGCCACGGGGAAAGGGAGAGCCGGCCCTGAACATGCACTGGCTATGCGGCGGGGGAAAGCCGGCCCCAAATATGCACTTGCCAAAGGGAAGGGGCGAGCCGGCCCCAAACATGCACTTGCCACGGGGAAGGGGAGAGCTGGCCCCAAACATGCACTGGCCACGGGGCAGAGGAAAGCTGGCCCCAAACATGCACTGCCCACGGGGAAAAAGGGAAATGCCCCCAAAAACACATTGGCCACGGGGAAGGAGAGAGCCGGCCCCAAACATGCCCTGGCCACGGGGAAGGGGAGAGCCAGCCCCAAACACGCACTGGCCACGGGGCAGGGGAAAGCCGGCCCCAAACACGCACTGGCCACGGGGCAGGGGAGAGCCGGCCCCAAACACGCACTGGCCACGGGGCAGGGGAGAGCCGGCCCCAAACACGCACTGGCCACGGGGCAGGGGAGAGCCGGCCCCAATTACATACCAGGCACACGGGAGCGCAGACGGCAGGGGAACCCTCTCATGTCACTGCGTGATAGGGGCAGGGATGGCTCACAGAGGGAACAGACTCTGAGGAGCCCTGTCACTGCACGGTAGGGTCCGGGCTGGCTTCTTTGGACATGCATTCAGCTGGCTTTTCACTGACTCGGTGTGAAACCCCATCAATGTGCAGGAGGGCAGTAATGCCAATGCCATAGGCTCACACTTAGGCAGCAGCGGAGAAGCCGGCCTGGCGTGGGATGCACTAACAGCTCGGAGAGGACGGGCAGCACGAAGGCACTTCTGGCACCGCAGAGCGTGTCCCCCATCCCCCGGGACCGGAGCTGACAGAGCAAGTGGCTGGCACGTAAAATGCAAACACAGACATCTCTCGCTTGGGGCAGGGGGAGGAGGAGGCTGAAATCTTGGCAGGCAACAGGAAGGGAGAGTTGGGTGAATTTTAAACTCTCAAACTGGGCCCTGAGCCAAGGGAGTGTAAAAGAAGCCCTAGAAATCTCCCTTTTTGTGGAATTAAAATGAGACGAATGGTTCCGGTGTGACCAGCTCTTGTGATCTGTGGGCTGTCTCTTAAAGCCCCAGCTCTGCTTTTATATATAAAAAGAAAATCTGTGTCTAGCCCAATGACTGGGGAGAAAAATCAAGGAAACTCCAACCCCATTGGCTACGACGCAAATCACTCCATGTTAATTTATTTTATTTTATTAAATCTCACGATTTTTTAAAACGGCTTTTGTGATATTTTGGGTCTGACGCCATCTTTCTTTGAAGGCTTGGGGCTTTTGGGGGAGGAGGGGCTGATAAAGCCACAGGAGGCAGTTTTAGAAGCCCAGCGAATGTATCCTCCAGCGTCCATTGCAACCCACATGCTGCATCCCAGGTGAGCCGTAATGGGGAAATGGACGAGACGTGGCAGCCCCATTCTCAAGGGGTATCTGCATCATGCAGTCTTATACCTGCAGAACGCTGTTGGGATTTTTCTTGGCAATTTGTTGTGGCCACAATGGAAGAAGTTTTAAAAAAAAAGGCCTAATTTTTAAATGGACAGTGCCCCTTTTGTAGCTTTTTAGGTCAGAACAGCGTGACGGTGTAGTCTGATCTCCTGCATAACACTGTCCGTGAATTAAATGCTGCTTCGAGCCCAATAGCTAGGACCCTGCCAAATTCACTGTCCATTTTCATAAATTTCACAATCAGAGCATTGTAAAAAATCTTGAATGTCACCGTTTCAGCTATTTAAATCTTAAATTGCACGGTGTTGTAACAAACACAAATATGTATTTAAACACAGCAAAATATAAACAGGCACAGCCCTTAAGATTCAGCGTTTCTCAAACTGGGGGTCCTGACCTAAAGGGGGTCGCAAGGTTATTGTAGAGGGCGGCCGGAGAGCAGCGGCTGCTGGCCATGCGCTCAGCTCTGAAAGCAGCGCTGCTGACAGCCGGAGCGCAGCAGTAAGGGTGACAACACTGTGACCCCCCTACAATAGCCTTGCGACCCCCTTTTGGGTTGGGGCCCCCAGTTTCGGAAAAGCAGTGTACTTCTGTATACTTTTCCCCTATAGTCTAGGGAACTTTTATAATATAGGTAAAAGTACACAAAAGACCAGATTTCACAGTCCGTGATGCGTTTTTGAAGCTGTGAATGTGGTAGGGCCCTATTGATAAGCTATATTAGCTGACTAGATTGTGCTCCTTGGGTCTTTCACTGCCCCTTTCTCTGAGCCAGTCTTAAAACAACTCGGTTCAGCAATAAAAGTGCTTCACTGGGCTACCCCAGGGATGTAACCAACAGAGGAAATCTTTATAACGTAGGCTACACTCCAGGGGATGAATACGTGTCATTCCCAGTCTCACAGGGATGCTGTGAGGGTCTTGTGACTAAAGACCAGGCTAGGAATTTCCTGAGTTGATTTTTTAAGAAAGCATTTTTAAAAAACACGTGTATGACAATGGGCTGTAGATGATTTTATCTCCTTCGAGAGCGAGATTACGGTCTGGAGCCAGCTTCTGGAAGCCCTGATTCCAGGGAGTAGCACCCACTCCGAGGGCCTGATCTGTTGAAGGTTGCTGGAAAGATTTAACAGAGCTTTGGACAGACCCGTGGTCTCATTGTGTGCAATGAGACGACTCCCACGAGTGAGGTTTTGCAGGCCTGGCTCCTACCTTTGCCCGTAGCTCCAGGTGTCGTGACATGCTGGAACGCGTTGGTCAAGGGTTGCGTCTTTACGGCAGGGTTAGCCGCCAGGTCTGAGTACTTGGGTTAGCCTAGCCTCAGTGTTAGCCACCACAATGCAAAGCCTGACTTAAGTTAGGACTTCTGGAGACATATTCAATGGTGCTTTGTGCTGCAGCAAGCTGAGCTGCTCTATGATTTTTTTCCCCCCAGAGCATTGTGGGAGAATTTTTGACCTTCTGGGCCCAGGGGGGCATTGTGGAGGACTATCAGCACTGCAGCGGGTTAACCTGCATCCTCACTGCAAAGTGGGCAGGTTAGCAGCCTGAATGAAAGCTGCAACAGGGCTTTAACCCCCCTAGCAGCCAGGCCAGCAAGCCCGCCTGGGTTTAAAACACCTACATCGATCAGGAGAGAGGATTTTGCGTATGGACGGGGTCAGAGTAAGGACAACAGCTGGGTAAGAGCAGTGAAGACAGCCCCTGTGAAACACAAGACAACGTACTAGTCGAATCGGCAGAGTCTGTAACCTGCCTGTCCCGGCGGAGCGTGGCTGATGGCATAGGCTTCGACTTCTGCTCCCGCCGGTGGGGGCTCGACCCCCCCCTCTGCCCCCAGCCCCACCCTGACTCCCCCCCGCCCCACCCCCATTCCAACCCCTTCCCCAAAGTCCCTGCCCCAACTCCGCCCCCTCCCTGCCCCTATTCCGACTCCTTCCCCCAATCCCCGCCCTGGCCCTGCCTCTTCCCCACTTCCTCCCCTGAGCGTGCCATGTTCCCGGCGGCAGCAAGGCGGGAAGCGCTGGGAGGTAAGCAGAGGAGCTGGCAAGCCTGGGAGGGAGTGGGGAGGAGGAGGAACACGGCGCGCTTGGGGAAGAGGTGGGACCGGGGTGGGGATTTGGGGAGGTGTCCAATAGGGGCAGGGAGGGGACGGAGCTGGGGTGGGGCCAGGGGGCACGAGCCCACTGACCTCAGACTTCGCCAAAGCAACCCGGTGGGCAGGAAACCACACATGGGAAGTTCCCAGTGGAAATTGTCTGCGTTTTATAGGAAACTGGAAGTGAAGGGAGCACAGCTTGAAGGTCTGCTTGGGATGGAAAATGAAAGGTGACTGGAAAGGGAAAATTGGCTGTTTATGATACTCAATTTTTTTCATTAGAAATGTGGATTCCTGACTTCTGATTTTGCTAGGGGGTCCCTTGGGGAGGCGGAGAATTTAGCAGGGTTATATCACATGAAAGCACAGACTGAAATCTGAGGCTAAAGTGTTGAGATCCCAATCACATGCCGAGGCACCTGTCTCTATCCGCAATGCCAATCGGGCTGCCCAGCCAATTCTCATTGCAGGCTGGTTGCATCAATAGCCTGTATGGTTCAAAGCTCTCACTCAGGCTTGGCAGAAGCCCTGTGGGTAAGAGATTCACCCCCTGCTAACTGAGGAATCATCCACTCCAGTTTTCTCCTAGCAGTTCGCCGGCAAAAATCAGAGAAGGCAAGAATTGATCGCCAGGGCTCAGATTTTCCAATTAGCACCCAACTGGTAAGATGAAAAGAACAAGCAGAGAAGAGCTCTGTCTGAACAAAAGGGGAAGCCCTCTAACATCTTCTTCCCACATCTGAAGGAGCAGGAAGAAAAAAGCCCAAGGTGTTATTTCTCTCTTCGCAGGTCACCCAGGGTGGTGCCCTTTCAGAGATGCTGTCCTTCTCTAGCATGAAACCTTCTTCCACTTTCATTTGATTTGTTTTAAAATTAGGATTACAGGTTTTAAATATCAAAATGATCTATTCATAGTAATGATGTACATTGCCCTTACTGTTCTGTTGATGCAAAAATATTGCTACACAGGCTGTAACGCAATAAAACAAAGTGACTTTGGGTTCTTTTGACTCATTATTATACTTAGCTGGGACCTGATTTTTTATATTTGCATTAATTTGATTATGTTTAACAATTTATAACACAGATAAAAACCCAGGAGTCCTGAGTCCCAGCCCCACATGCCAGACAGCATTCTCACTGCCACTGGACAGCAGCCCCTGTG